AGAGCCGAGTGAAGATCACCTTCCTGATGGCAGTGGCTCTGGCTGCTCACTTCCTCCTTGAAGTTCTCAGTTTCTCACTCCCACGTGGGAGGTTCCCTCACAGGCCTTTGTGTCTTTCTATTTAAGAGGGAGAAACTGGAAATCCCAGAACCTCAGGCTGGGGGAGGGGGAGGGGTTTGTCCCGGTGCCTTCGGGACAGGCCACGTTCTATGGGGTCCACCTGGTGTGTGTCTCTCTAGATCAGGGGTGGGGAACATCCGGCCCAAGGGCCATATAAGGCCCAAGAAATCATTGGGTCTGGCCCTGCCGATGCATTAGGGGTGAGGGAATGAAACACTTGGCCAAACAGAACAGGCTAATGTTTAAGTTGATGATTTTGTGTGGCCCTGGACTGATGTTATAAATATCCAAATGGCCCTTGCCAGGAAAAGGTCCCCACCCCTGCTCTAGGTCTTTCTTTCTGCTCATTTCTTCCCCCAGAGAGGACTGCCCAATGGTCCAAGGCCTGGCTGACAGTGTGGGGGCTGGTAGGTCAGACACAGCTGGAAGCCCAAGATCAGGAGGCCGGCAGGTGGGCGAGGCCCTCCTCTGGGTGCAGAGTTTTGTTGTATCCTCCAGGATGGAGGGGCCTCTCTCAATGGGGCACTAATCCCATGGATGAGGGCTCCACCCTCATGCCCTGACCACCTCCAAATGCCTGGCATCCTAACACCACCCACTGGGCCTGGGGCTTTCAACAAAGGAATTTTGGAGACTCGAGCATTCAGACCGTGGCGTGTCTAAGGGACTGCAGGGTCCCGCCATCCAGTGCTGACCCTGAGGCACCTCTGTTTCCTGGGTCTCACTGGAGCCATCAGCCACTCCTTAGGTCCCTGGCCACCCATCACTCTAGTCAAGGCTACAGAATAAGTGTCACCCCGCCCTCTGCTGGCCTGACAGCGGGGAGAAGGGGTGGCTGTGGTGGGGGTGTGGCCGGGGTCAGGTGCTCTTCTCACACAGTCAGATCCTCTGCTGAGCAGGACGACTCTGCATCTGGACATGCCCACCAGGCCACAGAGTTCCTGGAGAGGGGCCCGGGGAGGAGTCCGGAAGGGGACCCAGGCCTGGCGCCTGAGGCCATGGGAGGGATGGTCTGACTACCTTGACCTTGCGTCAGAGCCACACAGCTGACAGAGTGGAAGACCCAGGGCCTGACATGAGCTTCTCCCTCAGCCCCCACCCAGAAGATCATCACAAGAACCCTGCACCCTCCGTCCTCCCTGCCAGTGACCACTGGGCCCAGCATGACCAGCCAGGAGACGCCTGATGCCAACCAACACCCTCGGTAAGGGGCGCACATCCCAGGACTTTGACACCTGGTGGATTCTCCTCTAGATGGGGGTGCGGAGGCGGGGGTTGGAAGGCAGGAGTGCTGATGATGAGGCTCACTGTGCATCACCGTCACCGTGTCCCCACAGGTCCCTGCTCAGCAGTGTCCACTTCCTGCTCCTCATATTCCTGAAGGTGCCCCTGTTTCTGAGCATGCTCAGTGCTGTCCTCTGGGTGAACAGGCCTCAGCGGGCAACTTGTGAGGAAACACAGTTTGGCTAAGACAACCTGCCACTGTCCCCGCCTATCCATGTCCTGTCCAGAGACACAGCCACTCGGGCTACAGAAGACAGAACCTCCACCCTGAACCTTACATCCCTTTTCAACTTATCGCTAGAGACGGAAAAAAAAAACCATTTTCATGACTATATCACCTACACAAACTTGTGTATATGACCAGTTGAAGGACTAAAATTAAACATCTGTGTACCCGACATTAAGCCTAAAAAATCAAACATCATGGAGACATTTAAAGCCCCCACCTACTTCTCCCTGATCTCAAGCCCCTCCTTCTCCTGCTGCCAGAGTCAACCACTCTCTCCATAAGTTTGTGCCAATCATTTCTATTACCCAACCTCACAGGTAAGTACTAAGAGCACGCTTGTGGCAGTTCTTAACGCTACCAACGGATGGCGCCAGAGGCAATCTGCAGAGCTTCACTAAAGATCTCTTCATGGACTTAGAAATAATTCTTCTCCAACAGGATTGCTTCTCAGTTGCTGGGTCCCTCCCGGCTGATCCCCAAATCCAGACCCATTGTAACCTGCTGGTCTTTCCCCAAGGCTGGGTCCACTCCCCGCCCCTTGCTGCTCATCAGCCTGGGCTATATGAGTAGGGACCCCCTTGTCTCCATGGGGGCCAACCAGATGTAGACTCGGGCATTCAGGGGGCCAGGGACCAGGGCTCAAGGTACAACCAGGGGTCTGGAGCCCAGTGGGCAGCTCAGACTGGAGTAGACTGAACCTAGGGGAGGGGATGGAGCAGGTGTGAGAGACAAAGACACCTGATTCCTGTCCAAGGCTTCAGATTTCTTGAGAAGCAACACCATGTGGATCTGCTGACTTCTCACTCCCTGGGAGAGGCAGAGAGACCAGGGCTCAGTGAACACGTTTTCCTCCATAAAAGGAGGAATTCAAATAGACGATTTATAGTCCCATCTGACTGTGACCACTTTCTACAATTCTGTGAAGCTTGCAGCAGGAGAATACCACCTTGATGACTATCTAATTTATTATGTATACTAGAGGCCCGGTGCACGACATTTGTGCACTGGGTGGGGGGGTGTCCCCTCAGCCCAGCCTAAGCCCTGCAGGGAGCAGGCCTAAGCCAGCAGTTGGACATCCCCTGAGGGGTTCTTAGCTTGCCCCAGAGGCAGGAGTGGCTCTTGCCACCGCTGCTGCACTCAACAGCATGAGCCTGGCTTCTGGGATGAGCGGCACTCCCCCTGTGGGAGCACACTAACCACCAGGGGGCAGCTCCTGCGTTGAGTGTCTGCCCCTGGTGGTCAATGTGCATCATAGCGACCGGTCGTTCACCGTTTGGTCGATTTGCATGTTAGCCTTTTATTATATAGGGTTGCTTTAATTCTTATGGGTCTCTAAAACAAATAGGGAACAGCATTTGCCTCCTTTTTCCTTTCCCCAGATGTTCCGTTGGCACTGATTTTCATGTTGGATTCTCACATGAATCTTTTTTTTTTTTTGCAACCATCTGGGAAACGAAGTTAACAGAAAAACGTGATCAGGTCCTGTGCCCTAGGAGCCTGACTGTTTATCTCCTCCAGTCAACAGACTCCTTCCCCATGCTTGTGGTTTAGTTATTCCTTCAGTGTGGGATACACAGACTCTACGTGGCACGACTTTTGGCTTTCATTTTATATTTTTAAACATACATTTGATGTCATCCCATAAAACAGTTTAGCTTTCTACATTATTCCTTTTATAATCCAAACATCTGGTAATGTGAATCCTGTGTGAGGCATTCGTAATGTCTGTCTCCACGGGGTTGCTCTTCTGTCACCAGCCTCTGCAGCTCACCCTCCTGCAGTTTTTTCAGAGTTAGTTGTGGCAAGAGAGGGGCAGACGCTAGAGGACTTGATTTGGGGGCGAGATGGAGCCAAGCCATGATCCACAAGAAGTTGAAGGTTTTGAGGGCACCCTGTGATGTGTTGTTCAAACCAAGGGGATATAGAAATAGCTGTAAAACCTCAGTAGCTGTCTGCACAGTAATCCCGACCTCCTGTGCTCTACAACCAGGCCTTCGTGCCTCCTGGGGAACGAAGGCAAGGCGTGAAGATACTGAGTCTTTGACTCCCATTGTTTGAGTCTCATCATAACCTCGAAGGAACACCCCGTGACCACTTGGCTACATTTTTTTTAGACAAGTCAAATCCATTTCCAGGTCCTGGGTGCTTGGAGAACAAGGTACTTGGACTGTGTGCACAGGGAATAGGTCCTTTTCTCAGTGTGCCTTTCTGTGATACGCTTCTTTGTCAGCAACTTTGTGACTCGAGGTAGGAAATGGTTAGGCAGACATTCAGGTGCATTTCTGGGCCTCTGGGGATCTCGGTGCAGAAATACAGGAGAGCAGGATTCTGCACGTGGGTGGGCCTAGCCTGTGTGTGGAAGAGAACATGGTGCGGGGAGGCTAGCTGACAGGCAGGACGGCCAGAGGACTTCAGGTCCTGAGTTGGGCCTCAGTTCTCAGCCAGAGTCTCCACGGAAGTGAGGGCATTAGAACTCAGCACGCCCTGCCCTTCTGAGCACCCTCACGTCTGTGCACTGGACCCACCACGTTGGTTCACTGCTAAGTTTTGAACAGGCCTGCCTGCTACTAGGCTCCTCTATCACTTCTCCCTGCCCCTCTATTCCACCTCACCTTGTCCCCTCTATTCTGCTTCCTCCCACAAATCTCATTTGTTTCTAATGCTTTGAGTTCCTTTAAGGAGAGAGAAATGCTTGTTCTTCTGAAATCAGAGATAAGAGCAGTGGTTCTCCGCCTTCTGGCCCTTTAAATACAGTTCCTCATGTTGTGACCCAACCATAAAATTATTTTCGTTGCTACTTCATAACTGTAATGTTGCTACTGTTATGAATCATAATGTAAATATCTGATATGCAGGATGGTCTTAGGCGACCCCTGTGAAAGGGTCGTACGACGGCCAAAGGGGTCGCCACCCACAGGTTGAGACCTGCTGCCTCAGAGGGTTGGTGAACAGGGAACCCACAGGAGAGAGGACTCAGCCTTGGATGTGACCCCACAACCAAGATGGCACCTTTGAAGGCATCTGAGGTCGTAGAAGAGTTGGGGGCCCACAGGGTCAGAGCTCCCTGTGGGTGTCTGCAGCTACATGTTGGGGGTCAGAACACCTCTGTGGTCACCACCAAGGCCCGAGAGGATGAAAAGGGGTGGCCTTCAGCCCAGGACTGTCATTCTTGACTACAAGGAAGTGACATATGGCAGGGTGGGGACACCACCAAGGAGGAAACGTACCAGAGGCTCTGCTGTGCAGAGACCTGTGGCCATCAGAGGAGCAGCCATGTGCTCTGAGAAGGGGCAGCAGCCTCACTGAGGCCACGGGCCCTGTCCTGTCATTGGGGTTGAGAGCAGAAGCCCAGGGCGCGGAGAGGCGGGGGTCTGCAGCTGCCTGTGCATCTCCTGACCCTAAGCTTCCTGCATCCTGACCATCCAGCATCGGACTCAAATCTGGGCTGGACACAAAAGCAGAGAGGCCCAGAAAAGCAGAAGTGGGCACAGTGCAATCGAACCTCAGCAAGGAGGCTTGACTGTGTCCGCACATAGGGCCTGGCGCTGCTGCAGGCTCTGTCTGTGCGGAGACATGACCCCGAGGAGCGGGGCCACGTGGCTGCCTTCAGCTCTGATCCTTCTCCAGGTCTCAGGTGAGTGGGGTTGGGCTGTGTGGGGAGCTGGGCCCCGAATGGGAATGAGGAAAGACCGGGATGGGGAGTGGATAGAGCAGGGGTGGACAAACTTTTTGACTCGAGGGCCACAATGGGTTCTTAAACTGGACCGGAGGGCCGGAACAAAAGCATGGATGGAGCATTTGTGTGAACTAATATAAATTCAAAGTAAACATCATTACATAAAAGGGTACGGTCTTTTTTTTTTTTTAGTTTTATTCATTTCAAATGGGCCGGATCCGGCCCGTGGGCCGTAGTTTGCCCACGGCTGGGCTAGAGGGTGGGGAGCAGCCCAGCAGGAGGGAGGAAGGACATGGGGGAGTGGGTAGAGGTTGAGCAGCAGCCCAGCAGGAGTGAGGGAGGACATGCGGGAGAGCAAGGGAGTCAGAGAATCTTCTGGGAACAGCCAGCACCTGCCTCAGCTGCAACCACAAGGATTCAGTGCACAAAGCAAGTGAGTCTCACCCACTGCGCCCACAGAGCTGCACTGGGGAGACTGGGCCTGTGCTCACCACCTGATTGTCATAACCAGGGAAGTGGGCCCTGGCTAAGTGCTCAGTGTTAGAGCATCGGCCCGATGCAGATTCAATTCTGGGTCAAAGGCATGTCCTGGGCTCATGCAGAAGCCAGCCAATCAATGTGTCTTTCTTACATCAATGTTTCTCTCTTCCTCTGCCTTCCTACCTCCCTTCCACTCTCTCTAAAAAGCAATGAAACAATATCCTTACGTGATTAAAAAATAATCAGAGATGTGGTCTTGGTGCATCACACACACTCATACCCATGTACACGTACACACACACATACACACACACACACACACACACGTGCACAAACTCTGTTTTTCCCATCGTGGCCCTTCTTGTCTCCATGGACACCCTCTCCCTGTGTCACCACTGAGAGGAGGGCGCTATCGCCCCTGGTCCCCTCGCCTGGTCTGAGGAAAGGCATGGCCTCCAGACCCTGAGGGCTCTTGAGGGACCTGTACCCCAGGGAACCCCTGCCCCTGGACCATCTGGTAAGATCCTGGGACTGGGCTGTGTCTTCCAGGCTGTTTGTCTCTGAGCTGCCCCAGGCGCGTGACGGGCACCGTGGGGGGATCGCTGAGCGTGCAGTGTCGGTACGAGAAGAAGTACACAGACCATAACAAATACTGGTGCAAAGGCCCATGGTTGCCATCGCTGACGAAGAAGACTGTGGAGAGCACAGAGTCAGAGAGAGAAGTGAGGAGCGGCCGAGTGTCCATCAGGGACCATCCAGCAACCCTCACCTTCACAGTGACCTTGGAGAGCCTCACAGAGAGCGATGAAGGCACATACAGGTGTGGGATCCATAGACCATGGACAGAAGGACTGATAGACCTCACCTTCCCGGTTGAGGTGTCTGTTCTGTGTCTCGAGTCACACACACCCTCCCCTCGCCCCAGCTCCAGGCCGCCTGACCTGTACCTGGTCACCCGCTGGTCAGGATAGACATAGACTGAAGAGCTGGGTGAAGTGGGGGTCCGTGATCAGGACACAGCATGTGTGGGTGTTGTATTATCTGGGCACACGTGTGACACACACACACAAACACACACACACACACACACACACACACACACACACACACACAGTCTGTTCCAGATCCCTCCGGGGGCCAGGCCCTGACGCAGTCTCAGGCCTGGATGGCTCCTGAGGCACCACCCTCACACCCATGGTCCTGGGGGCCTGCAGCTGCCATGAGACAGGCCCAGAGGAGCCCCAGGTCCCTGTGTGGGGCCCCTGTGATGTTCTGGGGCCTCCCTCCCCGTTTTTCTCTGATGCCTTGTAGCCAGAGGAGGGAACCCAGAGGAGCCCCTGAAAAAACCTCCCTCAGGAAGGAGAGGAAAGATGATCACGTGGTGCTCAGGTGCTATGGCCCCAGCTCCCTGCCTGCTCTCTGCACAATTCTCTCCACCAGGTCACTGTGTTGTTGCCTGAGAGCCCAGTGAAGATCACCTTCCTGCTGACGGTGGCTCTGGCTCCTCACTTCCTCCTTGTAGTTCTCAGTTTCTCACTCTCATGTGGGAGGTTCCCTCACTGGCCTTTGTGTCTTCCTATTTAAGAGGCAGAAACTGGAAATCCCAGAACCTCTGGCCGGGGGAGGGGGAGGGGTTTGTCCCGGTCCCTTCGGGACAGGCCACGTGCTATGGGGTCCACCTGGTGTGGGTCTCTCTAGATCAGGGGTGGGGAAAGTCCGACCCGAGGGCCATATAAGGCCCAAGAAATCATTCGGTCTGGCCCTGCCAGTGCATTAGGGGTGAGTGAATGAAATGCCTGGCCAAACAGAACAGACTAATGTTTAAGTTGATGATTTCGTGTGGCCCGAGAATGATGTTATAAATCTCCAATTGGCCCTTGGCAGGAAACAGGTCCCCCACCCCCTGCTCTAGATCTTTTTTCTGCTCATTTCTTCCCCCAGAGAGGACTGCCCAGTGGGCCAAAGGCCTGGCTGACAGTGTGGGGGCTGGTAGCTTAGACACAGCTGGAAGCCCAAGATCAGAAGGCCAGCAGGTGGGGAGGCCCTCCTCCAGGTGCAGACTTTTCTTGTATCCTCAGGGGTGAGGGGCCTCCCTCATCCGGGCACTAATCCCATGGATGAGGGCTCCACCCTCATGCCCTGACCACCTGCAAATGCCTGGCCTCCTAATACCACCCACTGTGCCTGGGGCTTTCAACAAAGGAATTTTGGAGACACCAGCAATCAGACCACGGAGTGTCTAAGGGACTGCGGGTCCCGCCATCCAGTGCAGACTCCAAAGCAAGTCTGTTTCCTGGGTCTCACTCCAAGCACTCCAGCCTGAGGGCCCTGGTCACCTACCACTCTAGTCAAGGCTACAGAATAAGTGTCACCCCACCCCTGCTGGCGGGACAAGGGGGAGAAGGGGTGGCTGTGGTGGGGGTGTGGCCGGAGCCAGGTGCTCTTCCCACGCACTCTCAGATCCTCTGCTGAGCAAGACAATTCTGCATCTCTACATGCCCACCATGCCACGGAGTTCCTGGAGAGGGGCCGGGGGAGGGAGCCCAGGTCTGGCCTGCCTGTGGCCATGGAGGGGATGGCCTGAGTGACCTTGACCTTGTGTCAGAGCCACACAGCTGACAGAGTGGAAGACCCAGGGCCTGACATGTGCTTCTCCCTCAGCCCCCAACCTGAAGATCGTCACAAGCACCCTGGGCCCTCCCTCCTCCCTGCCAGTGACCACTGGGACCTGCATGATCAGCCAGGAGACGCCTGATGCATCACACACTTATACACACACACACACACACACACACACACACACACACACAC